GGTTAGCCATTCAGCACTGAATGAAAAACTCTTGTGACCTGGGATCAGTGTGGACAGAATAGGCATTTTTCTTCTCTCACTGAACACCACTGTAGGCGTATGGGTGGACTTTGTATTTAAAAGGGTGAATTGTGTTATTCTTTGTGCTCGATTAACAAAAGAGAGCTTCTTTACTATAAAATGTAATAGATAATACCTTCTGGTGAAAATGAGTGAAATTTCACAACTACTAACAAGAAAACTAAAATCACAGGCAAACAAGTCCATTGTACTTCTGACACTAGAGAGTACACGAAAAAGGCAAGTTACAGTTCAGCCAATCACCTGATTTTAATTCTGTCCAACAAATAAATTTACTTAACTATAACTTTCTTGCTATAAACAGTGTTGTGTAGATACACATCACAATCTGACTTCAAGGGTAATATTCACCTTTGTAAACAGTAATTTCTTCACTAACTCACTAGACTGTCCTGCCAGTTTATACACTGTGATAAGAATAGGGATGATAAAAAATTCCTTATTTTGCAGTGTATGAACTGCTTGATACAAACGTACACACATATGAAATATGTTTTAATCTTGCCAAAAGAAGTCTAACATAGCCATAAAAGGTGAATTTTCTCTAGGCTTAAATAATCAAGATGTTAGCTTCCTTCCTGAATTAAGTATTGTCCTCTGAAAACTGCCATTTACGTGTTACTGAAAGCTAAAGAAAGTTTCAGAATCATCTCAGTCAGCAGAGTGACCCTCTCTAATTACAATTTGGGAAGAGAGATTTCATTCTTCAAAGCCTATGACAGTTTATAGAGGAACCTACCACAAGCAGAACGTGACTACAGAATTTTGTAAATGTAACTCTTTCATTAAAAAGGAAAATATAAGGAATAAACTGAGTCTAAAAAAAGAATCTGCAAAGGTTGAAAGCTTGCTCGAAACAACCAAAATAAAGTAAAAAGCAGTACATAAAAAAATACCATTTTGGCATCCACAAATTGGCAATCCTCATAGACTGCATGAAATACTTTTTTTGAACAGCTCTTGTCCTTACTTCAAAGCACAGAAAAAGCTAACACCCCAAAAAACACACCAGTAGATGTCATGGAAATACTGAATTAGCAATTCCTTACCTTGACATCTTTTAGGGATACAAACTTCTCAACGCCTAGCTCAATCATATCTAAGACATGATAGTCAAACATGCGACCTGTGAAAGCAAAAAACAAGAAAATCCAGCTATTTAAATATTCATTGAAAAATCAGACCTTTTCCCCAAATAAAAACCCAAGTGAAATAAGTTACCTATTACCAGGTTGTTTGGTCGCTTCTTGTTATGAGAGCCAAACAGAAACAAAGAACAATCTGATTTCTTGGAAAAAAATTCCTACAGTTGAGGAAAGAACAAAACTCATGAGTTCCACTTTGAAGCATTTAAAATACTTTGTGAAGATACATGTCACAAACACATGAGTTTAGGAGCTGCTTAATGAGAAGAGCAACTGCACTTACCAGAAGAGTTTTGAGCAAGGCCAAGTTCACATAAGCTAAAACTGACAGCTAGATTCAAGGTTCAAATAACAAATCATTTCTATTTCCCATTGCAGTCTTAAAGATTAAGCCAGGTAACTTTTTCTCTCCATTCTACCTGTAATGCCCTTTTTCATAATTCCTCATTATTTGTTTTTAGCTAAAATACCTTCAACCACTTCTCCCTGCCTGAAGGATAAGTATTTGCAAGTTGTCTACAGTTGTAATGCCTCATTTTAGTCACCCAGATAAGCTTTATGCAGCATATTTGCTTTGCCTAACAGCTTCTGAGCATCCAGTTAATTCCCTCAACAGCAAACCTAGGAACATCTGCATATATCTAAAGTTCTCACACTTGGGAACAAGAGTACTACTAAAGAGTAACTTTGTGTCTATTGATTACTTAAGGCTAAGACACTACTTAAAACAGAGCCAATGGTGACTATCACCACTGGTATCTTTTCTCCAGGTTGAGTAGATGGATAACCTATTATAGTATTCTGACTAGAACTAACATAACAGAAATTCTTTCTGAGGATGTCTAATTCCAAAACCTTTTTATGCACTGCTGCTTCTCAAGGCAGCCCCTCATTCTGTGCATCAACCATGATTCCTAGATATACACACATGCTATTTATCCTGTACTTTCTAGAAGCACCAGAGTTTCTATACTTGCACTTAGCAGCTGTGAAGCAGAAAATGCCACTGCACCACCTCCTACCTCTGCAACAGCAGCAGCTCAGAGAGGACAATGCAACTCTGCCCCTCAGGAGGTCAGGAGAGACGTCCCCAGGGGCAAACGCAGGCTGGAATAGCTGCACGTACAAATCGTGCAGCTCAGCACTGATCTCTGCCATCAGGTCCCTGAACAATACTGACTAGACAAATCAAGAACAGACCAGAGGGGACTCCCCTTGAAACATTTGCTCATAGAACTCTGGTAATCGCTGTGTGCTGATATATGTGAATTCTCTAACAGAAGTATGATATTTTATTAAAAACTCAGCTGAGGATCAGCTAGTTCCTATGTGACTGTGAAACCAAGTCAGTCAGCTATGGGACTGTAAGAGGTATAGCTTCAGAAAATGATGTTACAAATCTTTCCTTGCTACCTACTCTTAAGTTTTCCATTCCATTCACGGTATTTTAGGGATGGTTGCCCTACTGTGCTTCATGCCAGAAACAGAAGCACATGCTGAAACACCTCAGCATCAGTTTTAATGCGGATGAAGCAACATTTTATGTTGGTGTAGCTAGGCCACAACCACAATGGTTTTTTAACACATTAAAACTGCCTTAACTCGACTAACACAATTTCAGCTGCTACTCTAGCACTCACTATTAAAAAATGATCCATAGCTGTCTCTCCTCTTCCTTTTGATTTACAGGGGATTCCTTAGATATGTTTCCCCTTTAGTTGCACAATCCCTTTCAGACAAGAAAGCGCATTTGTGCCTGGTGTGTAGACATAAATATTTTTCCTCTTCACACTCAAATTTACTTAGTACAATACCCCAAAACTGCCAACTTCATCATGCATCTTCAATAAGGTATTTAAGTAACTGCCTTAGGCAATAAAAAGCTGACCCTTACTTCCCTATGCAAGTTAGCAGTGACACAGAACAAACTTTAAAAATCATAATCACTAGGAACCAAACAACTAATTTTGGGATAATTAATTTTGTCTTTATTGTAAAGCTACATCACTATCTTCTTTCTCTCATTTTGAAGGAAATACATATGTTGCTTTTATGACAGGCATATTTCAGCAGTTAAAGTAATGCTTCAATTGAAGTGCAGATGTATAAGAAATAATCTTAGGATTGGCCCCTTTATTTTTTGCCTTCCTGATCATAAATTATCTTGAACTCAAAGCACTGAAGCAACACCAAATCCAGATGGGACATATAACCAGGGTAGGTTTATACTAGATACACGGAAAGAAGTTATTTACTATGAGGGTGGTGAAGCACTGGAATGGGTAGTCCAAAGAAGCTGTGGCTGTCCCACCCCTGGCAGTGTTCAAGGCCAGGCTGGATGGGGCTTTGAGCAACCTGGTCTAGTGGAAGGCTTCCTTGCCTATGGCAGGGGCATTGGAACTAGATGAGCTCCTAAATTTGCCTGTCAGTTTACAGAAACATGCATTCACAGTAAAGACAAAGTCATCACAACATGATTCTGCTGGAGGAAAAATATTCCTACTGACACCATAAATCTAGACATAGTCTAACCTTCCACTTATCCAAACTCCCTACAAACTTTGTTGCTCATCTAGCTTTCCACAGAGCATTAAAAACAAATATCCTCCAATAAAGTTCTTCTTGACTGTAAAATATCGTAAGAGAAGTGGTTTATACTCACCAATGATGTTTGATCCTCAAAAGGCCTGGTAATATTTTTCCTGAAGAAGAAAAAAAAAAAAAAAAGAGAAAGATTTAAAACAACCAACCAAACCCAGGCCCAGACAAGACAAGCACTTCTAATTAGTTCTCTGATAACATTAAAATTCTGCATTCTGCTGGGAATTCCAACAGTAGAAGTTCAGGTTTAGTACAAACCATAAGGCTTACGGTTTGAACTAAACCTTATTAATACTGCTCAGAGCATCTCAGTGCCGCCACTGCCATTTTAAGCACTTTCCTCCATATTTTCTGTCTCCTGGGGCCTGCTTCCAGACCACCACCAATGACACTTCATAAACTGCCTCTGCCTATTCACCTAACATTGAATTTAGTTATTACAATTAATGTTTCTGTACTACAACCATACAGATACTGGATTCCCATTTTGAGCAAGACTTATCTATCATTATAATCTATAACTCAAATCTATAGGAATCTGGACTCCAGCCTACCCACCTGACAGAACCTCTCCAGCTGTTTACACAGATCAGTTGGAGAAGCCAACTGTTCAAGTTTACCAAATCCTGCTTTGTAACAGCAGGCACAAGCAGTGGGCTAAGCACCAACACCAATAAAGTGTAACTTGTTTCCAGTCTACTGAAATTTATGATGAATCCCAGTCACCCTCTGCATCCTTTTCCACTGGTTGAGCCCCCATGCTGGCCAGCATCGCTATTCATACTTTGAAATTATCAAAAGCTGCCTTGTCAGCACACTTAAAGATGTCAAAGTGAGACCACTTACTTTCTATACAGTACAGCAAAAGGCTTCTTCACAGCATACTGCAAAAGAGAAATTTAGACACATTATCTCCAAAACATTTAAGTACACAGCACTGCTTTTTCTAAAACCCTGCAATTTACATGATCACAAAAAATACAGTGATTGCTTGTGCAAATGGGTCTAGAAGGCACCTCAAAAGGCCTGATCACAATAATGCCTTTCAAGTTGATAGAAATCTTGGTCCCCAATTAATTACAGGACTTATTTGTAGAAGCAATGAAATAACAAAATAACTGAGAAAGACCTAAAATCAAAGCCATGTAATGGAATCTTTCTGCTTCTATGTAGGGACATGAGGAAAAACCGGGATTGAACAGCAACCTGATTATCAACAGCAGAAGATGGTAAGAAAATGACAAAGCAAGGAGAGAAAAGAGTGTACGAATCTCTATAATATTCTCAGGTATGGAGTTAGAAGACTGGTTAGGATTGGTAAATTTAAGTTTTAGAAGAGGTTGAAAGCTCTTTATCAATACACGTAAGCAGTTTACAGGATTCTGGGATATAACTTCACCTGAGTGATCCAGTCCCAGTCCTGTACCTAATCCTTTTATTTTCAAACAGACTTGCAACATTTCACCTTCTATACTGGACAACCATGGAAAAAATAACAATGAAGAGATTAAGCTCAAAACTTCTGACAAAGAAATTGGAAGAAAATAATCTCCACTGCAGGGTAGGGAATGACACCTCTGGAGTGCTGGTCAATCCAATTTGGGAACTGGGGAGAGTACAAAAATATTGATTTTGAATCTGAGAACATGCAAATTCTAAGAAAAAAAGAAAGGCTGCATTCTATATCCAGCCACTTACAATGTCTTTAAGCACTTCAGTCACCCTTAAATTTGCATTTCCTCCTTTTATGAGCATAGCAATTTTTGTATTTTCTTTCAGCTTGGGTTCTCTCTTCTCAAGAAACCTTTTTGCTCTCTTAGTTTTAGGTTTTCTGTAACAAATTAAGAATTAAAAACATAATATTAGTAACAACACCCAACATTGCAGAAAACAGTGAAACAGCAAGAATCAGAACAAGTATATTCAAGTAACTTGTTTCAGTAACTCAAACTAATCCCAACCTGCAGAATTACAATCTGTGCTAAATACCTAGTCTCAGATTAATGTATTTTGCTGTTACTCCTTTTCCTCTTTGTTTCCCTAAACTAGCAAAGGAGATTTTAAGGCCTTGGGCTTTTCAGTTTCTGCTAATTTAAACCTTAAACAACACCAGAATTCCTACAGACTGACGGGCTTAAATCTACCCCTCACACCAGCGCCCTCCCCAAGTCAGAGACTTGCACATGAGAAGAAAACACAGTTCCTCAAAGACCACCAACAGCATCCACAAGAAAAGCTCAAGTGCAGCAAATCTATTGGCACGAATCAGAGGGTAGCACGGGCATTACTTAGGTGAGATACACCTGCCTTAGCAGGGGCACAGTGTTCATATAAATTAATAACTAGGTGGCTTAAGAGCTGCATTTCTCCAATAGATGTAAAGCTTTTAATATCTCCTCCACGAAACATTATATTTGTTTTCTTTACGGAGAAGCAATCGACCTCACACAGGTACTTCCACCTGCAGATGAAGACGGCTCCTTCACACGTAAAGAAACAAATAAATCCATTACCAGCCGCTCAAAGCGGTTCCTTTACGGAGCAAGAGCTGTCTGACACCGACAAAGAGACGGCAGCGCTCGGTTTTTCTTCCTTCCTTCTTTCCTCCCTCCCGTTTACCCATTCCCCCCCGCCGCCGCCGCCATACTCACACCACCCGGTCCAGCGGGTCCATGCCTACCGAGCCGCTCCACGCGCACGCCCCGCCGTCGTCACACACTGTCATCCGGTGCGTCACATCCGCCACGGGGAGGGCGGGAGGAAGCTCTAGGCGTCGGGGCAGCGCGCATGGGCAGAGCGAGCTTCGCGGTGAGGGGCCGGGTGCCCCTTGAGCGGTGCGTGTCAGTTAGTTACCAGGCAAATAAGGGTGCAGCGCCCTAGCGGCTGCTCGACTTGTTTCTGACGTGTTTGCGTACCCTCCTCTCAGCCTGGTGTGCTGGGAATCACATCAGAGCTGTGCTGCTAAGATGTGGCCATTTCACCCCAAACTTGCTTATTTGGGAAGACTGTTACGAGTGGGGAACATGACCTCACACATAATACAAACCAAATGCCAAAGATTTATTTCTAACATCCCTAGTGTGGTAGCATCACTTTAAAAACAGTATCTACTCTTAAATCTGGAAAGTTTCTGATTATTTCAAAGCCTGCAGGCCTTCTGTCAGAGTTGTTCAAATTTGTTCAGGTTGCTGCTTTTGCTTCTCAAGTTCATGTTTGATCGTAAGTTAAAAACTGAAGGTACAAGAAAGCACTACAAACACTCCCCACAGCACCAGTTCATAACATTCCCACCATCGTTATTCCAGCTATAACTACCCTCTATGGTATGAAGATGATCAGAAGGCTGGAGCACCACTCCTATGAAGGCTAAGACAGCTGGGCTTGTTCAGCCTGGAGAACGCTCTGGGGAGACCTTAGAGCACCTTCCAGTGCCTAAAGGGGGCCTACAAGAAAACTGGAGAGGGACTTCTTACAAGGGCCTTGTAGTGACAGGACAAGGGGAAATGGCTTTAATCTGACAAAGGGTAGATTTATATTTATATTAGATACTAGGAAGAAATTCCTTACTGTGAGGGTGGTGAGACACTGGCCCAGGTTGCCCAGAGAAGCTGTGGCTGCCCAAACCCTGGAAGTTTCAAGGCCAGGTTGGACAGGGCTTTAAACAATCTGGTCTAATGGAAGGCGTCCCTGCCCACAGCAGAGTGTTGGAACTAGCTGATCTTTAAGGAACTTCCAACCCAAAGCATTCTGTGAATGCACCACATTGGTCAAGGGGGCAAAAGGATGCTGGAGAGAATCCAAACTAAGCAATTTGATGAGTATTCAAACCCCCAAAAAGTAGTAAAAGCCACACTTGATTTTTTTTTCTTTCAGTAACTGCAGTACAAGAGCAGATACAGTATGAGGCTGAACAGGACATACAAGGTGAACCTATATTTGAGAAATTCAGGTCTTTATTTTAGACAATGATTTTTCTTTTCCTTTTAACAAAATATGTTCAATACATCAACATTTTTCTAAGGTAGGGGCTTTTTTAATTATGTAACCATTTCCTCCTCAATTCTGAGGTAGAGATACAGACATTCCCAATCAGCATTTAAAAAACCAAACAAACACTTAAGCCCTTTCCACTATGAGCCAAACATAAAAGCAATGCACAAGAACACAATGTCCATTTTTCCACTATTAATTGCTCAGATAAATTTGAAATCATGTCATGGCCTATAGAAGTTGGCCCATTAACTCCATGAACAAGTCCTGAAAAGATCAGAGCTAGTATCATGGAGGAGCATCATCTAAGGCAACACTTCCAGAAGGAGAATCCTCTGCCCCAGAAGCAGGGCTGTCAGGCAGAGGAATTGAGACATCCATTTCCAAGCTGTGCTGCTTCTCCAGATCACAATTCACGTCAGAATTTCCCCCACCACTCACTTCTCCCTCTAACTCTTCCGTCAATTTGTCGTGGGCCTGAGTGGACTCCTCAGAATCTTTTTCACGCAGGAAGCTGCATATCGTATTAGGCCTGCTGTAGGAAAAATCCCGGTCCTTGATCTGTAACCACTCCACTCCACCTGAGGCAAAGAAGGAAAACTGATATTGGTGACAACAACAGTTAAGAATTAGCAGCAGTTTTTTAATTAGTTTAAGTTCACTGTTATTAAGGATGAGCCTGAGCAACATTTAAGAATAAAAAAAAACCAAAACAAATGAAAAGCAAAAGGGTAGTGCTAATAAATACTACTATATGTAGCAAGGTACTCAATATCCAAACAAGTAAAAGCACTAACTTCTGTATGACAAAAGACCACTGAAATAAAGCAATCATATGAGCACTGAGTTCTGCCTACATAATGAAAATCAACATGAATGCTCTGCTAGGTGTGTCTTTGGAAGTAATTTAATTTATTCATTTACACTTAACTGTAAACTCAGTAAGAACAATTCAGTTGTAGTACATACAACACAAAACTTCTTACTAAGGATCTCTGAGACTTTCAACAATTAGAGACTCCAAAAGTCACTAGAAGAAAAAAAAAAAAAAAAAAAAGGGAGAAGAACAGCACCTCTTATTGTAGAATTAGTGCCAAAACTTTTTTACATGACACAGAAAAATACACCAGGGAACATCAGCGTATGTTATATGTTTGCTCTGCTCATACACGCTTCTGTAGGCATCTCCTACTAGCCACTTCTAGAGGCAGTATGATCAGAAGAAATTTCTTTGTGCGTGTTTTGTATTTAAATATACACATTTGGTGCCTAAAGAAGAAAGTTCCTCTAAGTTCCTTTTTGCTCTTGAATCAAACACTTAGTGCTGACACTCCTAAGTATAATCCCCATCTACATCCCTGTGCATAAAAGCAGAGGTACTAACCAACATTCTCTTCTCCTTCCTTCTTTTCTGTCAAAAGTGTCCGTGTCATGTTCAACTTCTTCACTGTGTGGCACTTGTATTTCAGCTGTACTTTTTGGTTGCCTTCTGCATCTACTATGAAGAAAGGGAAAAAAACAGTACCCAAACCCCAATCATTATAGTGAATTCCAGATCAACTGAAGCAAGACACATACTTTTAACCTTCCTGGCAACCACTACATAACAGGACATGAAATCACAATTACCATGCTCTGTGTTCTCTTCAAAAACCACACAGGTTCCCAGCGTATCTATGGAAAACAAAGTGAGAAAGTCTTAGAGGCTTTTTTATATCACCTGTAGATACCGTAACCACCGGCACAGCTGTGGGAACATTCCAACTTCTAGCCCCTCACAGAGGCTCAGCACTGATAACCACACTGCCAACTCAGGGACAGGAGTATCATACTCATTCAAAGTCATGACAAACGAGGATTCCAGATCATTTTCTTACAGACTAGTGTTGTCACCCTGAGGCAAATGGAGAACTACCGGTTGCACAACACGTCAGTCCTGCTTATACAGGAGACAGCAAACCCTTCAAGGCATTTACGTCCCACATTTTTCCCTGCTGAAATACAAGCTGGTGCAGCCTGGAGTCAGCTTCCAAGGCACACTTTCCAGTAAGTAACATGGGTGCATGCTGCACCTCCATATGGTGTTATACAAACATCACCCAGAAATTCAGCACCTCACAGGACCATGTTTCGCCATTAGCAGTGCAATTAACCTATGTTAAAGTTCTTTGGGTCATATGAAAAAGGAGAGATTTTATCCACATTACTTTTCCTACCTTCATATTCTCCTGCAAATACATATCTGTCCACTTGTAAAATGGGTTTCTCTGTCTCTATTCCCTACAAAAAGAGGGACAAAATTCCACATATGTCAGGTCTCTTAGTCCAGGAAGATTTCTTGCTGTAAAGCCAGAGAAGACATATAGCAGAACCCAGATTCCATCAATTCCTTGAAAAGATAAATATATTAAAAAAACGAAACAAAACAAAACCAAACCAAAAAACCACCAGCAAAATAAGTACTCCCTAACATGGTAAATGTGAAATAACAAGTTTACTTTGCTATTAAGGGAAAAGGAATAGATTTTGGACTGCAAAACTGTCTGAAACTGTCAGCTTTAACTGTACAAAGAGTACATCTTTAAAACAGGATTTCTGGAAGTGGGTTAAGAGTGGATATGATTTCACAGAAGCTAGCAGGCTCCTGAAAAATGGCAATTACATTAATATTTATTAGTTTAAAAAAGTTTAATAAAAGATGTTTTAGTCATTACAAATGACCCTGAGGTCTTCCACAGTGTTAAGCATAGGGGTGAGGGGAGAAGGGGTTTTCTTTGTGTTTTTATATGGAGCTTCGTTAAGCAGTGATAACAACTGTGACAGAGGGTTTAGCCAATCTTACTGTACAATCAGTGTACTGTTAAAAAAACAATAAATGTAATGACAATTTTTCAGTCTATCACTGTATGTTACTTTAAGTATATTAAATACAAAGAATATACCAAATAATACTGTTCACAGTAAATCACAACAAAACCAACAGTGCTGAACTGGTGTAGAAAATGCTCTAGTATGTTAAAAAGGATCAAAGAAATTCAAATTAAATTGAAACATATTTAAGTTACAGTAAATAAATCTAAAGTGTTGTTATGTCCTCTAGGAAACCAATTTCACCTCTATTTTAAATTAATAATTAAAAATACACATATTTGCATGAAAAAAGATGTTATTTTCTAAGCTCCAATCAGTGTAAGTTCTATAAAGCAGAATAATTTTCAAAAGTACTTTTCAAAATACACAAAGTGAAGAAGTGTGGCAATAAAGCATTACACCAGCACCAGAAGTGCAATTGTAGGATCTCAGAAGCTTCTGTGATTACTGTGTGCCTATAGCATGAAGGAGTTTGAAATGTTATTTGATTTTTTTTTTTTTCTAAATAAGGAGTAGGAGAGTAAGGCAGCAGTTCAGTCAGCTCAGAGCAGAGATTTTTCAAATACACAGGCCAGGATCCCATTATCCTTTATATAAAATATACCTATAGACTGTATTTTGATAAAAATTGATGTCTGATCAGAACACATTAATTAAGGGAAAATGTCTTTTAATGGTACATTGTGGACATCAACATTATCTTCATGTCCTGAATAAGCACACACTAAAAGTTTTGAAGATGAGGCACTGTCTGGTAAATTGTGTAAAATCCAGAACGTCACACAGGTTAGTTGGAATTTGTGTGATTTTCCTCTCATACTCTTAAAAAAAATAGAGTATATAAGATCAGGAAGATTTAAGCTCTGGGATTCTCTTTCTGCTGCATAAGCTGAGAATATCAGTAGCATTAAGCTAACATGTAGAATTGTACTTTTTACTACAGGAAATTAATTTTAAAAATGAAAACATCAGAACCAGGCAACAGCATTAAGGTTTTTAATATTAAACACTTTATTTCTTTGGCTTATTTGCATTCCTTTTTGGACTACACAAATATGGAGACTGTCTTCCCCTTATGTGACCAGCATCACAGAAAATTTGCTAAACAATAACACAAAGAATCTTCTATTGGAGTTTTAGCAACAGTTGTCCATTATCAAAAAACTCAAGGAATGGTTACTCTGTGGAGTGAGTAAAGGTAGATTTGGATACAAGCAGATTATAGTATAGATACTGACAAGTTGCTCTAGTAACATTACAATAGAATCTCAAAGCACAAAATTTAAAAGAATCCCAATAATGCTCTTGAAGACTATGTAGGTATTCAGCCACCAGTCATGAATCATCTGTGTAATATATTTCAAGTGACTTAAGTAAGGTCCAGGAAGCAAATCTGCTTATAAAAACGTATCCAGTGATGGATAATTTATGAATTATTAATGTATTCCTACATTTGACATTTTAAGAATTGGCTTTACCACCTCACATATAATCACGATCAGTGGCATACTCAAGTGTGCTCTTCCATCTTCTCAGTCTATAATAAAGGTCTATTTTCAGAAAGTATTTGTAAATCGATAGTACTTGTACTATCTATAGAGCTCTCATAGACCATACAGGTTTTGAAGGGCAAATAAAATTTGTCCCCTACAGAGAAAATGATTAAAGTATTCAGAAGGAAAAGGATCAGTACGCCAGAGTTTTAAAATAACTTCACAATGAAGCAAACAACATCCAAAACTGTTTATCAAATGCTTAACACCCAGTTATCCTTTACAACACTTGAACTTGCCAGGCAGGATCTGCAGAAGCCCTATTATAAACAGTACAATTCAGAAAGATTTTGGCTTTAGTTGTCAGCTGTATTCAAGTTATTTGAACAAAAAAGCTTAACAATTTTTTTTTTTTATGTGAAAAATCTGTCAGTTAAAAAAAATTGACTTAGAACTCAAAGTCAGAGTGGATAATGGTCCTAGATTATAAATACTTCTAAAAATGTTACCTTATATTTATGTAATATTCCATTCAAAAGACCATATGCCATTTCTGAACTAGAGCGCACAACATGCAGCCAAACAAGGCCAAGATAGTGCATGTAAGATTTGACCTAAATGTTATCAACTTCAAGAATCTAGAAATAGCCGCAGTCCCTTGTTCACACATGTACTGACTTACCCCTTTCCTACTGTGCTGTAATCACTCACCAAAATCTTGCATTTGTTTTCACATTTCTCTAGGAAGTCTGAATCAATAATTCCTGACAGTTCCACCATGACCAGCTGCTCCTACGAGGTAAGTTTACAGTGTACATCACTGATCTATCTGAATTCAGGGAAAAAAAGAAAAAAAGCATGTCTTATCCCCCCCCCCAAAAACCAACAAGCAACCCAAACCAAAAAGAAGAGCATACAAAGACCTAGACCTTTGGAATAAAGAGCCCCCATATCTGACTTATTCTACATTTTATCTAAAGAAAATGGCAGATGGATAGCTAGGGAACCACAGTGACCTACTACTCCACCAGACACCTGGTTCGCACCTGAATTTCATGGCCTTTTCTTCTTAGCTAGGAAGGGAGCTCTTTTTACGCCCTTTATAAGTGACAAACAATAATGGTAAATTATTTATGAATTATAACAGTACAACCAGTTACATACGTTTTCCCAAAGCTTTAGTACTTAGCTAAATAAGACACTGTAGTGAGAGGTTAAGCAACATGTTGCTTGAAATGGTTACTTTTAACTCTTTGTAGCATACTGCTTTGAAATCAAGTCCTGTTTGCAATGCCTTACAATTTGGGGTGAGGAAATTGAAGAAAGAAAAAAAAAGAAAAAAGAAAAAAAAAAGCCACTTTGAAAAAGTTAGTTTATTCAAGGAAAAGAAAGAAGAGTTTTCAAGAATCACCGTCTACTAAGCACACATAAATACACAGAATAATAAGAGTAATTGTATGTTCGGATGTCATGGGGGTAGGAAGAAAATGAAACTGGAAGACTGCTTAGTGATAACGCCGTTTTCCGGAAAACCTGAAACAACAGCTAAAGCGATACTGCTTCAGAGACACCACCGCTGCGCGGGGACAGCACACCCGATAGGCCACGGGAAAGGTGCTCGCTCGGTTCCCGCCCGGGGACACCCATACGACCCCCGGCTCTCCTACGCGTCCGGCCTGCCCTACCAACCCTCCGCCAAGCGGCGGCACGACGGCGGAAAGCGGTTACCGGGGGCATGGAGAGACAGGGACACAGTGAGAGGAGGAAAGCCAGCCCCTCTTCCACCGAGGCCTCATAGCAAGTGCTTGGCCGCGGCAGCCCACAGGAGGGCGGGCGCACGTCCCTTCGCGGGCACCTGACAGGCATCCCGCTCCGGATAGCTCAGTGCCAGCAGAAGGGAGAGGGGGCTGCGCCGGGCCCACAGGAGGGACACGCCCCGAGGGGGTCGGTCCAGCTAAGCCGCGTCCCTTCCTCTAAAGCCACGGCAACGAAGGAGAACGCCCGGCGAACGTGTCCAGCTGTTAGCATCCACCAACCTCCACTTCTTCTTCCTCATCTTCATCGTACTCCTCCATACCCGCTGCTGCGGTTACCGCCGCCGCCATGTCACTAGAAGCAGCCCCGCTTCCCCTCAGCGTGCACCACGTGGCCCCAGCTCCGCCATCTCAGAGTGCGACCAGGCTCCGCCTCCTGCGGGCGGCGGCTGGAAGCGGCACCGACGGCGTGCGCGCGCTGCCGCACGTGCCAGCAGCCCCCGGCAGGTGGCGGGAGTGAGGCGCGCGCCTCAGTGATCGTTAAACGGCGGGGCGTGAGGAGGGGTCTCCCGGCGGGGCGGGGGGGGGTGTTAGGGGGAAAGTGTGGCCTTGCCGGGGTGCGCGGCGGAGCGAAGGGCGTGAGGATGAAGCTCTCAGGTAGGGGGAAGCCCGCGGCTGGAGTGCGCGCAGGGGGTAAGATACAGGGCTGTGGGAACGGGAAGAGGAACAGGCAGCGGCAGGCGGGGCACAGGGGGAGTGGCAGCCGGGGGAGGAGGAGAGCTCCCGGGGGTTGCGGCCGGGGCGAGGCGAGGTGGCTGCGTCAGCAAGCGGCTTCCAGGACCTGAGCAGTTCAGTTTCAAATGGGTGCCTGTGCGAGCCGTGCCGTACCCCTCTGTCCTCCTGTCACCACCGGGTCGCCTGGACCCGAGCTTTCCACTGTCTGTGAGGTTTTCCACAGACTCCGTACTTTGCGCAGAGTGGAATCATACGCCGTTGCTCAGTCCTCGTTTGTCAGGTTGAACGAGGCACATCATCCTCTCTTCGTTTTCCTTTTCACCCTAGCAGTTTGCTTCTGCACCTGTGCCACTCTCCCTTGTGTGCTCGCCTTATGCACTCACCATTGCAGATTGAATCATGCCAGGCCCTTGTAAAGTGTAAAGCTTTGTGTGTCGTTGTGTGCGTGTCTGATAAGACAACCAGAAAGCATTAGGCTAAATACAGCAAATACACTCGTTTGATTTCCATCTGACAAGTATTCCTGTCGTGATGTGTTAGACGTTGCACTCCGTAATCCTTGGTCTCGTGCTGTTTCTTGTAATGTAATTCTCTGTTGCTTTCCTTCTGTATGCTATGTTTCTGACTTTGTACTAGAAGTGTTTTCCTATGCACTGTGCCAAAGTCATTAATGAAAATGTTAGGTAAAAACCCAACGGGCTTCACTGTACATTTTCTTCCAGCCTCTACTTAACGTCCATAAGATAAACATAATGTCAGTGTAGCACTGTATCGAGTGTTTAACAACATCCAGATATGTGTGATATAGTGCATTTCTCATTTCCCTAGAAAAATCACTGATCTTAAACATATCAGGTAAGTCTAGCAGGATTTTTCTCTGGGAAGCCAGCATTAGGCTTCATCTCATTATATGTTAAGCTTCATATTTTAAATTATTCTTTCTTAGAGCTTGTTTTAGAATATTGAATACTGCTGTGGTAAGAATAGCCTATAAATTTGGATTGGTTCTAAATACAGAAAAAAATGCAGTGGCATGGCACCATTCTGCCAGGCAAATGGCAAAAGTTTGAATTTTGAATTGCTTGAATTTGCAGGGGATAATAGCTGTGAACAGATGTTTGGTGTATTGCAAGTGTTAATTATCAAATATTTTAAAATAATAGTTTGTATCGCTTACTGTGGGTTGCTGTGTCTAAGCATTTTTAGAAAACAAAAATAAGGTTTTGATTTTCATGTTCTGCCACTAGAAGGAGATAGATAAATAAAATTATGTTTAGAGAGCTTGCTAAGCATTTCTGAGAGAGGTTTTTAATGAGCTTCTAACTTCTAAAGCTATATGTCAGTGTTGGTAACTTTAGCTAGTTGGTCTTATGCTGCATAATATGAGTACATGTGTAGTAATACATGTTGTCTTTTAATAGTTCTTAACTACTGATTTCTATTTATTAAATCATTATATTTGGCACCAGGTCTTCCTGCCTTTAGATAAAATTTTTGTTGTTTTAAAAAAGTTCTGCCTGAATAAAGCAGAATAAACTTTCAATCACAAATATATATTTAAAAATTGTCAGAACTGACAGTGCTTCTGTTACACTAACACCATCATTCTTTTTTTTTATAGATGGGAGGAGGTTAAATGCCTTGGCTAGAACTACAGAAAGCCCTTACAAGAACATAAATGTGGGCCAGATAAGCCTGTGTAAATCATGGACAGGCATGAACTGCCAAAGAAGGAACCAGTACACTCATTTGCCTTTATAACAGCCTAAGTATCATGTAATATCCAGGTTCATCTCAATCTCCTAGTTACCATGGGTCAGGCTGTGCAGCTGGATGACGAGAAATTTTTGGTGCATTAGTGCCAAATGTATTTTAAAGGAGACTACCTCACTGCCAGGCCAAACTTGTCATGGGCATTAGTGGTTTGCTGGGGCCTTCCATACCCTGGCAAGAGCATTTCAGCAACTTACCTCTTAAAGAGACTGTTCTTGGAGTCTGCCGGGGAGATTGAACTGCTTGATGAGATAAATATGGAGATACGTATTTTGAAGATCCAGGTTTGGGGTTTCTTGAGGCCTCAGCTAACAATCCTGTCAGTGCTTGAACAGGTTTGTGTGTGTGTGTGCTGCCAGAGGCAAGTACCCAGCTGGCACTTAGGGCAGTTTAAGTCAGTGATGACCAAATGGTAAATTTAAAATAAATGATCACGTCCAAGATCTATGTACACAATATGCATGCACTAGTTTCAGTGGGTTCACTTGCAATTTAAGCATGTTAATGCATATTTTGGGCCTGGTAGTTTGCAAATTTTTGTTGTGGAGGTTCATAGATTAGATACTTGGACTATTTTAACAAATAGCCATTTTTGCATTTAAGGTACATTACTGGAAATCAGAGAAAGTTCACTGAAACACATAATGAACAAATTCTGGCTACTTTGTCTTTTTTTCTTTTTTTCATTTTCTTTTTATTTTTATCTTCCTTCTCAATTCATTCTCCTTTTGCAGAAGGCAATCACCCTTTCTCCATGCCCTCCTGAACACTTACCTTCTCAGTGAGGCCCTGGCACTAGTCTATCTAAGTAAAAGGTTAGATGTGTTGTGAAAACACGGAGTGGGAAAGAGTCTTTGTTTAAGTTCTTGAGTTTTATCTGCCTGTTTAGACTGTGACTCTGGTTAAAAAACTTTTGAATTGTATAATAAAACCTCCACAGAATTTAGTATTTAAAAAATGCTAAAAGAGCCTATGTGTGCATGTATACACACACACACTATATATACATATAGTCTGTGCATCTGTACTATTTGCTGAATTGACTGCCTCAGGAGAAAGGTGTTGTAGGTGTCTAGGCTTATTTTAAATTGGAAATGTAACTAAAATTGATGATGTGACAAAAGGTGACTGCCTAATCAGACTTCTCAATGTTACCATGTGAAGTGACTAAGTGTGATGATACAGTGTTGTAAGATGCAGACAAATGCAGAAGGCGGCTTGTAGGAGACGAGTGTATGTTTCTGGCTCTGGTCAGGGTTACAAAAGGTAAATCAGCCGCAGGACAAAGGTAATTTGCTTGATAGTATTACAGAGGCTGATTTCCATTTCCCTGCAGCTACATTGCTAAGCCTCTTCAGTTAGGAATTTGCAAGCCAAAGCAGCTACTAGGTTACCCCCTCCTCCCCAAAAAAAAAGCCAAAAAACAACCTGCTGGATTCCTTTGCATGTGTACCTTTATCTTTTCAAAAAGCTCCTTACAGCTTATGTAAGGAAATCCTAGCAACACTATTAGACAAAGCAGTCAGAGAAGTAGGGTAAAGTCAGGGGTGCTGAATTTCCACAGTGCTTATTCTTTTTATTATGTCTAATCTAAGACTGTGGAGTGAGATGCAGTACAGTAGGAGGGAGGGAAGGAAGAAGCTGAGTGAAGGAGTCCTTTCTCTGGGATGGAGACTTTGGCACAGGTGATCCTCCAGCAGTTTGCTGGCCTTCTGCTTTATTTTTAGTGTCTGGAATCAGATGCCAGCGTAGAAGGAGATTAAAGAAGGGGTCAGATATTTCCGAAGTTCTGTGCTCGGGAGTCTGGAGGCTTCATGCCAGTCTAGGTGTCACAGACCCACTTATTATACAAGGTGGTTAGTCTGCCCAGGTGCTTGTTACCAGGCCTCTGCTTCCCCATCTCTTCCATTTAATTTCTGCAGACACTCAGAGCGAGGTCTGTCATGGTAGGAGCAAGAAAGCTGAGAAGCAGCTCTCTATGACTACCTGAAAGGAGTTTGTAGTGAGGTGGGGGTCAGTCTCTTCTCCCAAGTAAGGAGCGATAGGACAACAGGTAACAGCCTCAAGCTGCACCAGGGGAGGTTGAGGTTGGATATTAGGAAAAATTCTTCACGGAAAGGGTGGCCAGGTGTTGGAACAGGCTTCCTTCCCAGAGAAGTGGTGCAATCACCATCCCTGGAAGTGTTCAGAAAATGTGTTGATGAGGCCCTTAGTGACATGGCTCAATGGTGGACTTGGCAGTCCTGAGGTAATAGTTGGACTTGATGATCTTAAAGGTCTTTCCCAACCTAGTTGAATGTATGATTCTGTGTGGGAGCATCTTACCACACATTGCATCTCAGCTGTGAAAGGGGAATTCCGCTAGTGAATCAATGGTAAAGAAGAGGCAGGAAAGGGTGGGTGCATCCCATTAGGGTGCATGGATTTATATATGTCCAGTTTGCTTAAGTATTCCCTGACCTGATCCTTTTCAACCAAAGGTGCCTCTTCCTTGCTCCAGACTACTCCTGGCCTCTAGGGCCTGGAGTTCCTGAAGGTCAGTCTTACTGAGACAAAGAAGGCACTAAATACTTCAGCCTTTTCCGTGTCCTGTGTCACCAGAGCCACAGCCCCATTCAGCCCTGGGCTCACATTTTCCTTAGCCTTTCTTTTGTCACTTACTTACAGAAGCACTTCTTGTTGTCCCTGACATCCCTCACGGATTTCAGTTCCCTGCATGCTCAGACAATGTCTCTGTAGTCGTCACAGGTATATATCCTTGATTCCACCTTCTCTACGCTTCCTTTTTTGTGTTTGAGTTTGGCTAGGAGCTCCTTGTTCATCCACACAGGCCTCCTGGCATTTTTTGCTTGCCTTCCTACTCATTTGGATGGACAGGTCCTGGGCTTGGAGGAGGTGACGCTTGAAACTGAAACCAGGTTTTCTGGACCTCCTCCTCTGTCAAGGGTGTTATCCCCATGGGAATCCACTGGTTGTCCTTGAAGAGGCTTACTTTGTCTTGTCTTTTCCTCAGGGAAGGGTATACCTGCTGGTATCCTGTGCTGAAGCATGTAAGGGAAAGAGCAGTAGGAAGATCCTGAGGGAAGTTGGGGCTGTATCCACATCTGGGAGAAATGCATCTTTGTGTCTATGAGCAATGGGGCAGGAGGAGAGTGGTGTGGTAGAGTTGAGCACTGCTGCAGTATCCTGCATGGAGTCCTAAAACTCAGCTCCCATCCAGTAAAACTTGTCAGGTGACAATCTTCTGATGCAGGTGGTAACAAGCAGGGAGTATATTATGCTACTTGTTACCCAGCTAGATCAGAAGAGGATGTCTATCTACAGAATTGACTTGATATTTTATGAAATGTTAATGTTGGAATCCTTTACATGACCTCAGATTATTTGGCATCAGTTATTTGAGATACCAAGATGTAAATTCTTACTCCTGGTGGGCTGAATGCCCTTGACTTCAAAGGTTACTGAGAATACTCATTATTTTTCAGGACCAAGCTCTTATTTAATCTCAGCTGGCCTGTCTGTATTTGTTTAAAATATGTTTAAAACAAACTGATATAAAAGGCACTTGGATTTTTTTTTTATACAATTATGTGAAAGCAGAAGGTTATTTCTGTTTCATATTTATTTACTGATTTTGATCAATGTTCCCAAGGCTTACTTTTTATTACAGTGAAATATTTTTATGGAACTGTGTTTTGTTTTCCTTGTACATGAACACAGCTTTGCTTGTTACTGAAGTACTGTTAAAAGCATTTTTTTTATTTTAACCTCAGGAACTGCCAAAGTGGTTTACAGTGCAGGAAATAAAAAATACTTATTAATCAATCTGCGTCAGAAACATCAGAGTCTTAATTCAGTAAGCGTTTATTGAGGTGTAACTTGGCAGCAGTTTGGAATTCCTGGTAGTTCAGTGTTTTTTTGTAGGTATGCCCACTGACCTATGGAAAGTATTTCTCCCCAGTATAAAAAGTAAGAATCACATTGCTCAAGCCTGAGGGTAAACACTGTATGAACTTGTTTTTCTTACTGTGATATTACTGCGAGGTGTTAGAATGTTCCTTTTTCAATCTTAGTTCATACTGTGTGAGTAAAATATTAAATGCATTCTATATCTTCAAAGAACAGGACAGATCTGACAAAAGTGAGGTAGGAAATAGTGAAGAGTAGTTGGACAAATAAGTCCAGTTGTACAACAGAAGGATTCACTGACTCTGTTATCTGCATGTGCATCTCTATAAGTACTAAAAATCTATTGCTCCAAGCACACCAAAGCCCCCACATCCAGAATAGGAGAGTAAGAATAGTTTAAATTGGCATAAGGAGATACTGTGCATGCTAGACCTTTGAGAAAAGGAGGTATAAATTATGCAGGGAAGGTAAAAACAGCTTTTTGCAATGCTAAAGGATGTTGAATCAAATCAGAATTACTTTAAAAACGAGTAACATACAACTTATATGAATTCTAAATGAGATGAGACTAAAAGTCTTTGTGCCATAAGTTTTAGGCTTCTTGGAGTGAATAGTGAAGGAACCTACATGATAGAAACTAACTCTGGACTTGGTTCTTGATCACCATTGTGTATGATCCACTTCAAACTTTTTATGGAAGAGCTGTTCTGAAGTGATCTTAATATACTTACAGCTGATGCTTTTGCACCAAAATAAAGTTCTGTTTGAATTACAGAGCACTGTGGACTGTGGCTCTTAAAAGAAACTAGGCTGCTAAGGAGTAAGAAGTTGTTCTTACGGATTGATTAATGTTTAAATGGTGGGAAACAAAGGGTAGGATGAAGCGGTCTGTCTTCAAAGTGGAGATCATTAGTTGATTTCCATGGAAATTTGTAGTGTTAAACATACCCTAAATTATTTGTTTAAAAAAAAACCAAAAGCAGTGGAAGTGAGATACTGGAATTGGATGATAATACTGTGGTTTTGGGATTATAAAAATGAAAGCTTATTGTGATGATTCATAGAATCACAGAATCATAGAATGGTTTGGGTTGGAAGGGACCTTAAAGCTCATCCAGTCCCAGCCCCCTGCCATGGGCAGGGACACTTTCCACTAGACCAGGTTGCTCACAAGCCCTGTCCAACCTGGCCGTGAACACTGCCAGGGATGGGGCGGCCAGTTTCTCAGGGCAGTTTGTACCAGTGCCTCACCACCCTCACAGTAAAGAATTTCTTCCTAAATATCTAAATCTAAATCTACCCTCTTTCAGTTTAAGGTGATTAGCACATGAATGATTGGATGGTAAAATGGCAGGTGAATTGCAGCTGTTCTCTGGCTAGAGAACTCCTGAGCCAAAGATTACTGAAGGCTGAGATTTACGAGGTGAAATACCTTTATGTGCCTGTCCTGCCTGTTCTTCCGCTCTTTTCCAGGTATTCACTGTGGGCTGATTTAGGTGACAGGGGTACTGGCTAAGCAGATCTTTGATCTAGCTCAGTGTGTGGCTGGTTTGGGCGCTTAAATTTGGTTCAGAATGACAAACCAAACAGGTAATAAGCCTGCTAGATTCCTTTCCAGGGTTTGTAAAGGCAAAAATTCACATTAACTCACTGGGAGACTGGACAAGTAGTTGAAGGAGGGATACGCTGGGGATAATAAAATGGGCAAATCATACCAGGCTGAGCACATCAACTGAGCTGACAACAGCTGGCAGTACACCACATATACTTGCATTCTTCACCAGGTGACCACTACTGTGGACAGCATAGGAGCTAGCTAGACCCAAAAGATTTAGGGTTCATACCCTTGTATAAACCCTAAATCCTGATTAGTAGTTTCATTTTTTTATTACAGCTATTTAACTCAACTATGTTTTGTACAGAAGCAGAGGAATATAGCACAGCAGATAAATCACAGCAGATGAGAGTTGGAAATCCCTCTGAAGATCCCATTGTCAGTTAATGTACATTTGGTATGCTTACAATTACTGCTTTTACTTGGGAAGGCATCAGTTCCTGAAAAAGGCTGTTACTGAGCTCTTTAGGAATTCTATGTAGGAAGACTGTGAAAAGTGCTGTTGTAAATGACTTTTAAGCTTTTAAAGCTATTGGAAAGGTAATTTTGAGGAGGTGTGTTGGCTTGGTCTGATGCAAAACTAGCGCAGTCACACCATCTTACATCTGTTTTCAAGAGGAAGTGAGGGTA